AAACTGCTGTCATATGGACAGCAGTTACCTCTAGAGAAGGGAACTGAGGAAGGTTACTCTGAAATTTGTTGTTTAATGCAGGTCATTCTGAAAACAGTTAAGAATCTATTATTCTAGAACAATAGTCATACATTTTTACTGTGCTCATAAATCAGAATATTTGATCACCCTGGCACTGGGTTCAGGGGTTAAAGAAGTGTACTTTCTCTCTAACAGACATTGAGACATTGCTCCTACCTTTCAAAGAATTTATTTATCCTGTGCATTCGTAGGGGAGGGTCATACATGGCACAATATGTATGTAGAGGTCAGAAGACAACTTGCAGGAGTCGGTTCTCTCCTTCTACCATGTGACCCCTGGGGATTGAACTTAGGTCATCGGGCCTGGTGGCAAGCACCTTTACCCAATGAGGCATCTCAACACCTCCCTCCCCCTTTTAAGTAAAAAAGTGAATATTTAATCTGTAATGAACTCAGAATGTAAGGATATTAATTTTCAACCACTTTGCCTTTTCTATCATTATCATTAAGGGCAAAAAAAATCTACCTATTCATATTAAAATTGAAGGTAGTATTGAAAATCTTATTTAATTAACTCATTAAAATGCCAGTGATCAAACAATCTCTACATTAAGAGTGATTGTGATTAAGCAGCGGTAGAGTTCAGGGTGCTGACGTGTCAGATGCATTAGCCAGCTCGGGTGAACTTCACCATCTCTTCAAGGGGCTCCACAGAGGAACCTGCTGATCATTCTTCCCCCCATCTTTCAGCATCCAGGTGAATCAAACTCACACATCACAACTCTATTGTTAATTTAGGCGTGTGTCTTATCTAAGACATAACATTAATGTAGATAATTTCAAATTTTGAGCACCTGGAAAAAGATGATGTTAAGTGATGAATAAATTAGTAATGATTATGATGACAGAAAATCAGTAGATATAGATTACATGTAATTCTTGATCTAAGAGCTTTTCATGCATTAACCGATTTAATCTTTATTAAAACAAAGACCCAGGGGCTGGAGAGATGGCTCGGCAGCTTAAAACACTGACTATTCTTGCAGAAGACCCAGGTTCGAATCCCAGCACCCACATGGCAGCTAACAACTGTCCGTAACTCCAGCCCCAGGGGATCTGACAGCCTCTTCTGACCTCCATGGGCATTGCACCACACAGGTGCACTTAGATACCTGCTGGCAATACACTCATACACATAAAATAAAAGAAAAATAAATAAAATACTAAAAA